CAGTTACGAGATGAGGAAGTTCTGGAGACCTAATGTACGGCATGGTGAATATAGTTAATAATAATGTATGACATACCTGAAATTTGCTGACAACGTAGATCCTAAGTATTCTTGCCACACACAAAATAGGGTAACTGCGTAAGGTGATGGACATGTTAATTAGCTTAATAGTGGAAATCATTTCACAACGTACACGTATATCAAAATACCACATTGTCCTTAAACATATACAAGTTTTATTTGTCAATTATACCTGGGAAAAAAATAGGAAAAAAGCCCCTAATTTATTAAATTTACTAATGCATATTTAAATATTTAAGAGAATTTAGCTAAGTGGTAAGTGTTACTGATGGTTTATGAGAGTTCAATCCGTTCACTCGAGTTGATAAGACATTAATCAAATTTCACTTTAACATAACAGGATGATTTGTAAAGAACTACTAGGACTTTGCATTTATAATATTAATTCTTAAAAACCGGTGCTACAAATAGTCTTCTATAAACAAAAGCTGCCCTCATGGACATTAAAAAAAAACAAACTCATAATGGCCCTGTACTTTTTTTATTTTTAGGAACTTAAACATTTTCTATAATTTTTAGATTTTCCAAAAGATAAAAGATAAAAACAAAACAAAACTCTGGGAAGAAGTCCAGAAATCAGAATTACATCTTTCTGAATAACAAACAACACAAGAATTCAGTGTCTCCATACCTGGCCAGGTGTCACCATGGATTCTTTTCCACCATACGTAAAGGAAAAGAGCAGACAGAAAAAACTGCGAAGTGGGGTTGGCCCAGGCACATCCTCTGAATGAGGAAAAGTAATGATTAGCCACGAGCATATTCCTTCCAAATAAAAATGAACAGTGCACCCTTGACAAGCTTTTGCTCTGTGGTGAGAATCACAGGTATTAGTGGAGCCTGCAAAGCCTGGCCTGCCTTCTTTCCATATGCGGAACATAATGTATTTGTAATAGACTTTTTTTCTTTCCACCAAGACTGAATTTTGTGGAAGAACTAAATGCTACTATTCCCCCATGGGAAAACAAAAGCACATAAAGATTTATCACCATTCATTGTCCTAATAGCCCTAACCCATCAAATAAAATTTTAAGCACAGTTGGTTAAAAGCGATACATCAGACAACTACTGTGTTTAAAATATCAGTCTAGATCACAGTAGTTTTGTCACCCAGGACTATAATAAATTTGTTTTCTATTAGAAAAATGACCTCAGAAGGGCTGGCTGGTTAGCTGAGTTGGTCAGAGCATGGCCTTATAACACCAAGCTCAAGGTCTGGTTCCCCATACTGGCCAGCTGCAAAAAAAAAAAAAAAAAAAAAATGACCTTAGAGCACCTTCAGTAGGTGACATTTTATCACAACAAATAAAACAATGCCCCATTCTGGCACAGAGAGCCGGGAACTCTCTTTCCTCTTGTCTATTTTTTCATTTCACTCCTCTGTCCTATAGTCATATTTTATCAATTATTAACCCATTTATTTATTAATCCATTCCTATATTTCTCCTTTTACTCCCCATACCCAAGAGAAGCTTCTAAGAGTTGGCCTCTCAGGGTCAACTCACAGGAAAACCTGAATGCACGCCTGGGGGTTTGCGTAGATCCACTGGGCCTCACATGTGCCTGCTGGACTCGGCTCCCCCCAGCTGAGACTTCTTCAGCTTTCTGGCATAAGGAAGATGTTATAAATGATTTTTCACTGGTGTGTTCTTATGTTCCAATCCTCCACCACCCTTTAATTAATGGCTTTGAACAGTAATAAACATTCCAATCCTCCACCATCCTTTAATTAATGGCTTTGAACAGTAATAAACAAATCTGTCACTATCCAGTACCCACATTATTGTGATGACTATTTTGCTGGCCAGTACAGGATGGAAGCCTGGACCTTGGTGTGATCAGCACCATGTTGTCACCAACTGAGCTAAGCGGCCAGCCCCCACATTATTAGTATGTGCATGAGTGTGCGTGCATGCACACATGAACACCACCATCCTTTAATTAATGGCTTTGAACAGTAATAAACAAATCAATCCTCCACCATCCTTTAATTAATGGCTTTGAACAGTAATAAACAAATCAATCCTCCACCATCCTTTAATTAATGGCTTTGAACAGTAATAAACAAATCTGTCACTATCCAGTACCCACATTATTGTGATGACTATTTTGCTGGCCAGTACAGGATGGAAGCCTGGACCTTGGTCTGATCAGCTCCATGTTGTCACCAACTGAGCTAAGCGGCCAGCCCCCACATTATTAGTATGTGCATGAGTGTGCGTGCATGCACACGTGAACGCATGCACACATGCACTGCATATACCTGAAACAAAGTCTCACGGAAAATACCCCCTAAGTTAATGCACCTTATACTTTCTATTCTATTTCACTTTTTTCTATTTCATTCATATGATATTTCATTTTTAAAAGTGTTGGTCATGATCCACTAAACTGATCTTCCTTTATAGACACACTGACCTAAAGCCCCTAAAAACTGCTGGGTTCAGTGTACACACGCTGGCGCGGCCACTCTCTGGCTCCAGGCCCCGGCACCAGCATCCACCTGCTGAAGAGAGTCCACGCTGACAGTGCTCTCCTCGTGGGGCCCTCGGCTCCTCAAGCTTCATGAAGGAGGAATCCGGCTCAATCTCTCCCTGCGGGCGTCTGCCCCACTCCGCCGTTGCTGGGGCTGCTGTCTCAGCCCTCACCGATGACAGAGCTCCTCTCCATGCTCTGACTGTCCCACGGGGCACCTGAACCTGCACCCTAGCTGCCTGTTCACCTGTCCGCGGTCCCCTCGCTAGACCACCTCACTCCGGCCCCAGGACAGAGCAGGCACACAGTGGACACTCGCACTCACCAAATGAATGGGTCACCACTCACACCACTCGAGGTCAGTGCGTACAGCAGGAGGGCGTTCATGCCCGCGTCGATGACATTCGCCGCGATCCCCATCATAACTTGGGGCATGATGATGCCCTGAAATCCCCAAATAGGAAAACACCAGCATTTTCAAACACTAATTAGCTAGGTTGTCAACTGAACCTTCAGAGTTAAATAGGCAACAATTTCAAATGATGGCAAAGTCACACAAGACTGGGACAGCCAGGAGCTGAAACAGCCAGATATGTCACCTCCCTCAGTGCAGCTTCCAGCCAAACCAACCAGAAGTTTGTAGATGCTTCTGAACGACCTGGCGGGTCACAGTTTCCACAACAGCAGCCGATGGCCCTCACATGAGGTGTAAAGGAAGCACCACTAGGGGGACACTCTGGCTAAGGTGCTTAACCTCTCTGCAGGGCTTCGGCCAGGGTCGAGCTGTCACGTACAAGACCCAGCAATGCCTGCTCTGTAGCAGGTGTGCAGAAAACGCTCACCCCTTTGCTTTCCAGCACCATCACTCATTTCTTTTGTGTATGCCGGCTACTCTACACTAGTGCTCAGATAAACATCCTCTTTAAGTAAAATTTGTATTTTTTAAACAGAGAGCTGACTGCTATCAAAGCAGAATGGATTCTATTCCAGCTTCAACACGCGGTGCCTGTATGTTCAGAGGCGAGCAGGCTGCCGGCGGCCAGGTGAGCTCAGCCCCTTTCCTCCGCCTCTCCCCTTCCTTTGGTGCACTGAGGGCATGCGGATCCCCCGCGCTTCCAGAACTGTGGTCACAGTAACTCTGGGCTCTCTTCCTCTAAAACAGAAGTATGGCAGCCACCCACAGAAGAGGTAAGAGGTGGGGTGACGGGGCTGCAGAGAACCTAGAAGTGACCAAAAGGAACTGGATGGACTGGTGGCGTCTCTCCTGGGCCAGACAAAATCCGTCTACGAGGCCCCACATCTCTCAGACAAAGAGCCCTGGGGTAGAATTAGAGGGAAAAAATGAGAATTACATTTATAGAAAATTCCTTAAGAATATTTACTATATATTTCCAGGATTATGAAGTAAAAATATTTTTAAAATCTATATCTGACTTTGTAAACACCTCGTCTGCAACTGGAACAGGAATGCTGCCTGTAGGATTAAATAGAAAAGCAAACACCTGTCATTCACATAAAAATATAATTCCTACAGTTTTCTTCAGTTCTAGTTTTTAATAAGATACTTACTCTTGATATGTGACTGCAAATTCAGAAAGCCAGACCCACACTGAACAAATGCTAGAATGCCAACTATTTGGAATGTTCTAGAGTGGATGAAAGATTTGCTCTCTGAAGAACTGACAGGCAAGTTCTAATTGGCTGAAGCAGAAGCCGCTGCCTTGACCTTTGGAAAGGCTCCAAGGCACAGCACTCCCCGAACTAAAGGCTCCAAGGAGCAGCACTCCCTGAACCCCGGATGATCCCAGGGAATATTCTGGTTAATTTGCAATCAGAAGTACCCACAGAATAAGGAATCAGGAAGAAAATTTCTTCCCCTCATCAGTGTTTGCATTTAGTTTACGCTGTTGGAGATCAGAGCAGTACAAGTTCTGAGAATCGGTGAGGTAGGCTCGGTAGGTCTGGGGAAGGCTCAAGACCTTCTGCACAAATAGCGCTATGACAGGTGAACAAAGAGGCAGGACAGCTGCATCCCACAGGAAACACGAGAGGAGCCTGCAACTCACAGGAAGAGCAGGAATAAAAATCATCACGTAAACTTGGGCCAGCCTGAAACGAACAACAAAAGTCTCCAGTTAATGTTAAAGCAACTGCTGATCATCCTGTCTTCAAAGTGAACCCACAGAGTATCTCCCAAGACTGAAAACTAAAAATAATTCATATGGAAGAAACTTTATAACAATCTCAAGTGACGCTATTTTTTTTCAAAAAAGATGACTTGTAAGGAGATCTTAACCCTTGACTTGGTGTTGTCAGCACCACGCTCTCCCCAGTGAGCCAAACGGCCATCCCTATATAGGGATCCGAACCCGTGGCCTTGGTGTTATCAGCACCACACTCTCCCAGGTGAGCCATGGGCCGGCCATAAGTGACGCTTTTTCTGCAACCTACATTGTATTACATTGGGCTTGCTAAACATCTACGCTCTAAGGGGAGGACTCACAAATTCACATTTTCGGGTCATTCTGATCATAAAAGGTGGAAAGAATACAGAAAAATAAACTAAAACTTGGACAAAATTCAGAAGCCTTTTGGGAGTATCAGGACTACTGCATGGTGAGCAAGACAGCCTTCTAGAAGGAACCATGCACCCCAAGGACAATACCAGAGAGCACGTCGGATAGTAAGTTTAAAAAAACAGCTCTAAAAACAAAAGTGACAGCAACTGTGTCACTATTCTGCTTTTGTCAGGGGAACAATATTCTGTGCGTTCTCAAGACATCAAAAGGGAGGGACTCAGCGAAAGGGAGACGGGGCCAAGATGACGATGTCCTGGTCATGAGGATGTCTGATCGTCGTGTGTCAGGCAGCCCTGCGAGCCCAGGACTCTGGCCACAGTCACAGCTTCCATTTTTGAAAGGGTTCAAGTCCCGGTAATTGGTGGAGGTGGTGACCAGGCAGCACCTGCTGTTCACCTAGTCCTGAAACTGCAGGCTGACCTGGACACTTCTGGGTCTTGCTTTAGGAGCAGGAGGATGCGCTTGATGCTGATGAAGATGCCCCAGCGGGGAAAGCAACACAGCATCAAAAGGAGGATTCCTCGCTGAAGTATGATCCCCTGGCGTTTCAGGTTCTTGCCTCCAGAGGACTTGAGAAAACAAGTGCAAAGATAAAGGAGGCCACAGGGTCCCTGCGGCCTGGGCCATCCCCTGCCCAGCACCGCTCCCCAGCCACCACTGTCCCTGCGGCACTTCACACACGTCCTGGTACAATCGGTCCTTGCTGCCGGGCACTGGACGTGGAGGGTACTGGCAGCAGAGACTGAAGCTTAAAAGTGAACAGGGGGTGGAGACAGAGGCTGTCAGAGAGGCTGTGCCCCGGGAGAGGGCTGGCGTGTGCACGTGGGGCCGGGGAGGAAAACACACCCCGTGGACTGAGAAGACAGGCAGCAGGGTCGGGAGCGCCGAGGGAGTGTTCTTGCAAGTGGGGACTGCCAAGGGGGTTCAGGACAGCCACGTGCTCCCCTGAGGCCTGAAGGAGACCAGGCCCAGTAGGATGGGGGTCAGGACCAGGAGTGCAAAGAGCGTTTTCAAACAGCTGAATTGAAGGAGGGGAGAGAGAGGGGGAAAGGGGAGGGAGAGAGAGACAGAGACAGAGCGGGGGAGAGGGAAGGGGGAGGGGTGGGGAGGGAGTGGGGGGAAGACAGGGTGCTGGATAAGCGAGGATGGTTCTGGGGTGGGGATATCAGACAGGGACAATGCAGCCCCTGAGCAGATGACAACAAGAGGACAGAATCGTGATGCTGACTACACTGCATTTGACAAACAAGAGGCAGGGAGAGGGCGGGAGGATGTCCCCCAGGCGGTTTCTATTGTAAAATGTAATTGCCAAAAAAGGGCTGCGGGGGAGGGCGATCCTCACCTGAGACATTAGCGTGTCACACACAGAGGATAAGCCAGTTCCAGCTGAAATCCCAGTAACACTCACCACCTGCAAGAAACAGCCGACCAGGTGCGGCAGACGTTCAGGGGACCTGGCCAGAAGCGCGTCACTGTCAAACAGCTGCCTTTACACGAACGAGCTGCGACAAGCTCCTCTCTGAAGAGCAACTCACAAGTGTACGCTTGTTCTATATTCCAGATCAAATGGTGTCCACATCAGTCCTTATCAATTGTTGAACAAAAATGGACCTTCTAACTAGAGGGCCATACTCACCCTGTGTCAACCGGGGAAACTTAATACCTAGTTTTCCCTAAACAACTTAGCACATTACAATTTCTATATTTAAAAGTTGTGGTTAATAGCCAAAGGCAATGCCTCTGATCTGCCAGTAGGATGTGCATTTAATAACAACAGCAAATATTTACTGAGCACATACAATGTGCCAGGCACTGTCCTAAGCCCTTCACATACATGGTGCTACAATCACTTTCCCATTTTGGGGGTAATCTGTGTCACAGAAAGTTTATGTCACTCGCCCTGCTTACTCAGATGGTGTGAACTGAGAAGTGTGTCTCCAGACCCCAGGCTTTAGTTTTCCAGTGAGGAGCAAGACTACTTTTTTGCCACCCTCTGGATGGGACCTTGCCTGGGCCCCATCAACCAAGGGCATGAGAGTAACCTGCAGGTATGGGGCAGGGCCTCAGTGTGCCCTGTGCAACAGAGCAGGGGAGGAAGAAGCACCAGGGGGAGGGTCTGAAGACCCTCATCTCCATCCTCAGTCTCACCTTTAGCAGCAATGGCAACCCCAGGTGAGTTATCGTCTCCACTGACCAAGAGTCTGGCCTGGTAACCACAAACGCTAGCCCCCGGGAGCTCAGACAGAGCACCCAGTGGTCACCCCACCAGGCAAGGGCCTCGATCTAAACACAACCAGGGGGTCATGGCACAGGGAGGACAGGATGTGATGAGCCAGAACCATNAACAGAAGTATGGCAGCCACCCACAGAAGAGGTAAGAGGTGGGGTGACGGGGCTGCAGAGAGAACCTAGAGGTGACCAAAAGGAACTGGATGGACTGGTGTGGGCGTCTCTCCTGGGCCAGACAAAATCCATCTACGAGGCCCCACATCTCTCAGACAAAGAGCCCTGGGGTAGAATTAGAGGGAAAAAAATGAGAATTACATTTATAGAAAATGCCCTAAGAATATTTACTATATATTTCCAGGATTATGAAGTAAAAATATTTTTAAAATCTATATCTGACTTTGTAAACACCTCGTCTGCAACTGGAACAGGAATGCTGCCTGTAGGATTAAACAGAAAAGCAAACACCTGTCATTCACATAAAAATATAATTCCTACAGTTTTTTTCAGTTCTAGTTTTTTTTTTTTTTTTCCTTTTTGTCTTTTTTACTGACCGGTAACGGGATCGAAACCCTCGGTGTCGCGCCCGCCCCGCACTCAGACAGTGAGCGGGAACCGGTCTCCACATGGGATCCGAACCCTCGGCGGGAGCACCGCCACACTCCCAAGCGGCGCACTCTCCAGTGCGCCACCGGGCCAGCCCAGTTCTAGTTTTTAATAAGATACTTCCTCTTGATATGTGACTGCAAATTCAGAAAGCCAGACCCACACTGAACAAATGCTAGAATGCCAACTATTTGGAATGTTCCAGAGTGGATGAAAGACTTGCTCTCTGAAGAACTGACAGGCAAGTTCTAATTGGCTGAAGCAGAAGCCGCTGCCTGGACCTTTGGAAAGGCTCCAAGGAGCAGCACTCCCTGAACCCCGGATGATCCCAGGGAATATTCTGGTTAATTTGCAATCAGAAGTACCCACAGAATAAGGAATCAGGAAGAAAATTTCTTCCCCTCATCAGTGTTTGCATTTAGTTTACGCTGTTGGAGATCAGAGCAGTACAAGTTCTGAGAATCAGTGAGGTAGGCTCGGTAGGTCTGGGGAAGGCTCGAGACCTTCTGCACAAATAGCGCTATGACAGGTGAACAAAGAGGCAGGACAGCTGCATCCCACGGGAAACACGAGAGGAGCCTGCAACTCACAGGAAGAGCAGGAATAAAAATCATCACGTAAACTTGGGCCAGCCTGAAACGAACAACAAAAGTCTCCAGTTAATGTTAAAGCAACTGCTGATCATCCTGTCTTCAAAGTGAACCCACAGAGTACCTCCCAAGACTGAAAACTAAAAATAATTCATATGGAAGAAACTTTATAACAACCTCAAGTGACGCTTTTTTTTTTTTCAAAAAATATGACTGGTAAGGAGATCTTAACCCTTGGCTTGGTGTTGTCAGCACCACGCTCTCCCCAGTGAGCCAAACGGCCATCCCTATATAGGGATCCGAACCCATGGCCTTGGTGTTATCAGCACCGCACTCTCCCAAGTGAGCCATGGGCTGGCCATAAGTGACGCTTTTTCTGCAACCTACATTGTATTACATTGGGCTTGCTAAACATCTACGCTCTAAGGGGAAGACTCACAAGTTCACATTTTCGGGTCATTCTGATCATAAAAGGTGGAAAGAATACAGAAAAATAAACTAAAACTTGGACAAAATTCAGAAGCCTTTTGGGAGCATCAGGACTACTGCATGGTGAGCAAGACAGCCTTCTAGAAGGAACCATGCACCCCCAGGACAATACCAGAGAACACGCCGGATAGTTAAGTTAAAAAAAACAGCTCTAAAAACAAAAGTGACAGCAACTGTGTCACTATTCTGCTTTTGTCAGGGGAACAATATTCTGTGCATTCTCAAGACATCAAAAGGGAGGGACTCAGCGAAAGGGAGACGGGGCCAAGACGACGATGTCCTGGTCATGAGGATGTCTGATCGTCGTGGGTCAGGCAGCCCTGCGAGCCCAGGACTCTGGCCACAGTCACAGCTTCCATTTTTGAAAGGGTTCAAGTCCCGGTAATTGGTGGAGGTGGTGACCAGGCAGCACCTGCTGTTCACCTAGTCCTGAAACTGCAGGCTGACCTGGACACTTCTGGGTCTTGCTTTAGGAGCAGGAGGATGCGCTCGATGCTGATGAAGATGCCCCAGCAGGGAAAGCAACACAGCATCAAAAGGAGGATTCCTCGCTGAAGTATGATCCCCGGCGTTTCGGGTTCTTGCCTCCAGAGGACTTGAGAAAACAAGTGCAAAGATAAAAGAGGTCACAGGGTCCCTGCGGCCTGGGCCATCCCCTGCCCGGCACCGCTCCCCAGCCACCACTGTCCCTGCGGCACTTCACACACGTCCTGGGACAATCGGTCCTTGCTGCCGGGCACTGGACGTGGAGGGTACTGGCAGCAGAGACTGAAGCTTAAAAGTGAACAGGGGGTGGAGACAGAGGCTGTCAGAGAGGCTGTGCCCCGGGAGAGGGCTGGCGTGTGCACGTGGGGCCGGGAGGAAAACACACCTCGTGGACTGAGAAGACAGGCAGCAGGGTAGGGGGCGCCGAGGGAGTGTTCTTGCAAGTGGGGACTGCCAAGGGGGTTCAGGACAGCCACGTGCTCACCTGAGGCCTGAAAGAGACCAGGCCCAGTAGGATGGGGGTCAGGACCAGGCGTGCAAAGAGCATTTTCAAACAGCTGAATTGAAGGAGGGGAGAGAGGGGGGGAAGGGGGAGGGAGAGAGAGACAGAGACAGAGCGGGGGAGAGGGAAGGGGGAGGGGTGGGGAGGGAGTGGGGGGAAGACAGGGTGCTGGATAAGCGAGGATGGTTTTGGGGTGGGGATATCAGACAGGGACAATGCAGCCCCTGAGCAGATGACAACAAGAGGACAGAATCGTGATGCTGACTACACTGCATTTGACAAACAAGAGGCAGGGAGAGGGCGGGAGGACGTCCCCCAGGCGGTTTCTATTGTAAAACGTAATTGCCAAAAAAGGGCTGCGGGGGAGGGCAATCCTCACCTGAGACATTAGCGTGTCACACACAGAGGCTAAGCCAGTTCCAGCTGAAATCCCAGTAACACTCACCACCTGCAAGAAACAGCAGACCAGGTGCGGCAGACGTTCAGGGGACCTGGCCAGAAGCGCGTCACTGTCAAACAGCTGCCTTTACACGAAGGAGCTGCGACAAGCTCCTCTCTGAAGAGCAAGTCACAAGTGTACACTTGTTCTATATTCCAGATCAAATGGTGTTCACATCTGTCCTTATCAATTGTTGAACAAAAATGTACCTTCTAACTAGAGGGCCATACTCACCCTGTGTCAACTGGGGAAACTTAAAACCTAGTTTTCCTTAAACAACTTAGCACGTTACAATTTCTATATTTAAAAGTTAAGTTGTGGTTAATAGCCAAAGGCAATGCCTCTGATCTGCCAGTAGGATGTGCATTTAATAACAACAGCAAACATTTACTGAGCACATACAATGTGCCAGGCACTGTCCTAAGCCCTTCACATACATGGTGCTACAATCACTTTCCCATTTTGAGGGTAATCTGTGTCACAGAAAGTTTGTGTCACTTGCCTTGCTTACTCAGATGGTGTGAACTGAGAAGTGTGTCTCCAGACCCCAGGCTTTAGTTTTCCAGTGAGGAGCAGGACTACTTTTTTGCCACCCTCTGGATGGGACCTTGCCTGGGCCCCATCAACCAAGGGCATGAGAGTAACCTGCAGGTATGGGGCAGGGCCTCAGTGCACCCTGTGCAACAGAGCAGGGGAGGAAGAAGCACCAGGGGGAGGGTCTGAAGACCCTCGTCTGCATCCTCAGTCTCACCTTTAGCAGCAATGGCAACCCCAGGTGAGTTATCGTCTCCACTGACCAAGACTCTGGCCTGGTAACCACAAATACTAGCCCCCGGGAGCTCAGACAGAGCACCCAGTGGTCACCCCACCAGGCAAGGGCCTCAATCTAAACACAACCAGGGGGTCATGGCACAGGGAGGACAGGATGTGATGAGCCAGAACCATGACACTGAATTCCATGCCGGGGCAGCAGCATCACTAACGCCCCCCAAACAGCTCAGCCTTCCAGAAGAGAGGAAGGTGAGGCATGTCAGTTTCTGAAAAGTTTTGTCTTTTAAAGAAAAGCCACAGGCAAGAGCGTGCTTTTGTAAACAGCCTGACTTTGGTTGGCTCGGGGCGTTATTCCCCTGCACAGCTCGAGGTTCACCCCGAGGTTCAAGCCTTTGCCAAGCTGAGCTCTGACATTGTGCCTCTCGCTTATAATGAATGACATTATAACGAAAGATGGTACAAAAATTGCCACTGTGGCTGCCTATCCAGGACGCCAGCCTCCGAACCTGAGTGTCCAGTATTTGAGAATCGACAAATTATCTCTGTGTCTTAGTATCAAGAAAGGTTGTCCTCCTGCTGA